TGACCTCTAATTCTTGTCTGTCCCATTGCACAGCTATATTGTCTATTTGCACAAACTTTCTATGGAAGCAAATTCACATACATGTTCTTGTTTACCTATTTTCTATATGAGTGATGAGTTGTTTTGCATAGTGTTCTATGCCTCACTTCTTTCAACAAGATATTTTGAAAATCTTTTCATATCAGTATATAGAAACGTTTATACTCTTTTCATACAGTTAATACTATATTATTATTAAGGCACAGCTTAATTATATCCTATTTATCAACTTTAGTTGTTTTCCATCTTCTACTATTAAAAATTATGATGTCATAAATAACCCTATACATATATCATTTTGCACATGTGCAAGCATGTCTGTAGTATCAATTCAATTCCCACATGTAATTGCTGATTTCAAGGATATGGGCATTTAAAGTGGCCTCTTGTGCAGTTTTAATTTTCATTTTTAAAAAAATTTTATTTTATTATAGAGATGTGTGGTACAAGTAAGAGTTAATTACATAAATAGGCTAAATGCAAGTGAACTTTGGGCCTCCAACTGGCCCTCATGTCCTCTGGTGGGACAAAGTAATTTGCATTTTTCTTATGAATGTAGGCATGATTTTAAGGCTGAAAATTCAAGTATCTGCATATGTCAATTTTGTTAATATTTCTGGTATATTTTTGGCTGACTTTTTCTGTTTTGCTTAGGGTATTTTTTCATGCAAAAAGCTATTCTTTAATTAAATGTGTGGTTGTTAGATATTTTTAATAGGGTCTAGTTTTAAAAGCAGTCTTAGGTTCACAATACTAACTTAATCCTGACCCTAACCCCTGCCCACATGCATGCATAGACTATGCCATTATCAACATCCACCACCAGAGCAATGTGTTTGATAAAATGAATGAAACTACATGTGTCCATTGTTATCACCCAGAGTCCATAGTTTACATTAGGGCTCATGCTTGATGTTGTATATTCCATGAGACTGGACAAATTTACAATGACTTATAGTCATCACTCTGGTATCACCGGAGAAGTTTCAATACCCTAAGAGTCCTCTGTGTTTGCCTTTCATCCCTCCCTCCTCACCTAAACTCTGGCAGCCACTGATCGTTTTACTGTCCTGTTAGTTTTGCCTTGTCTGGAATGTCATATAGTTGGAACCATACAGCATGAGCCTTTTCACGTTGGCTTCTTTCGCTTTGTAATAAGCATTTAAGGTTCTTCTATGTCTTTTCATAGTTCATTTTGCTTTAGTGCTAGATAATTTTCTGTTGTCTGGATGTACCATAATTTGTTTATTCATTCATCCTAAGGCCATCTAGGTTGCTTTCAGGGTTTGACAATTTTGAATAAAGCGACTATAAACATCTATGTTCAGGTATTTGTGTGGATGTAAGTTGTTTTTTTTTTGAGTTGGAGTCTCACTCTGTGGCTGAGGCTGGCGTGCAGTGGCACGCTCATGGTCACAGCAGCCTTGACTTGATGGAGTCAGGCAATCCTTCTGCTTCAACCTTGCAAGTAGCTGGAATCACAGGCGTGTGCCACCATGCCTGGATAAATGCTTGATTTATTGTAGAGATGAGATCTTGCCAAGTTGTTCAAGCTGGTCTCGAACCCCTGGTCTCGGGCAATTCTCTTGCCTTACAAAGTGGTAGGATTACAGACTCGAGCCACTGTGCCAGGCCGGACATAAGTTTTCACATTCCTTTGGAGTGTGATTATTAGATCGTATGGTAGGAGTGCATTAGTGTGTAAGAAGCTACTAACCTTTTCTGAAGTGTAGCTCCATCATTTTGTTTTCCCACTAGCAAAGAATGAGACTTCCTGTTGCTACACGTCCTTACTGGCATCAGGTGTTATCTGTTTCTGGATTAGGCCATTCATTTGGGTTTAAAGTTTTATCTCCTTGTTTTAATTTGCATTTTCCTGATGACATATGATGTTGCACATCTTTTTATATTATTATTCTAACACTATTCATTGAGACCATCATTTACTACTGATTAGAGGTGCTATTTAGGTGTTTTATACTACATTTATTATTGTATTTGAGTCTATTTCTTGGGTCTGTTCCATTGGTCTATCTTTTGGCGTATTATTTTGGTAATGCAAATAACTTTTAGGATGCTTTCTGACAGCTATCCCCAGTGCTAGATCTTAAGTTTAATTTTCTTTTCTCCCATCTATCTATATGAAAATGTAGACTTCTTCTCAATACTAATAAATTATCTACTTGTTAACCTTTTGTATATAATTATACTATTTGATGCCATCTTATGTCTTAAATGTGCCTGCAGTATCTTTTATTTTTTTTATTTTTATTTTTATTTTTTTGAGTTGGAGTCTCACTCTGTCGCCCAGACTGGAGTGCAGTGGCCGCTCCTGGCCACCGCAGCCTCGACCTGCTGGGCTCCGGTGATCCTTCCACCTCAGCTTTCCGAGTAGCCGGAATTATAGGCATGAACTACCACGCCCGGCTGATTTTTTGATTTATTGTAGAGATGAGGTCTTGCTGCCCAGGCGGGTCTCGAACCCGCGGGCTCAGGCAATCCGCTCACCTCAGCCTCTCAAAGGCGCAGGATTACAGACTGAGCCACCGAGCGGTATCTTTTATTCATAAAAAAGTTGAAACTTGATATTTAATCAGGCACCTTTGGCATATTTTGTGAACTCTACCAGTTTTGTTGGAGTTTTTCTCAAACCTCCTTTTTTTGATTCATATCCATGAATTTTTCATACTACAATTAACAAAAAATAACTTGTTATAATAACTGGGCTGAAATATGAATAGTCTAGAAATTACAAAGATGATTTTTAGAATATTTAAAGAACAAAAGTATGTTTGATAAAGGAAAATGGAAAAAATACACAGATTCTAGTTTTGAGAAATATATATTTTATTTATCAAGGGAAGGAAATGGGGCAAATTATCATTAAGGTCTCCTTCAGTTCATTGTCATTCTCGCATACATTTTCATTTCCTTTATTTCACTTGATTTGTGAGGTGAAGCCCTTTGTGGTAACTCCCAGGGGTTGGCAATGTAGTGCTCTCAGCGCCTCACTCTCAACAATTGCTATCCCATTTCCATCTGAATCACACTGAGAGCACTAAAGTCATGGATTAATTTGTCTTGCTAGTACACATACCTACAAAAGGTCTCTGCTTCCATTTTCTTCATATTATAGACTAGAGACTGTAATATAATGGTGATTTTTCTGCATTCAGCTTTGTTTTGCCTCCCCTAAAATGAAGGAGATAACTTCAATAAAGAAATGAATTGGTTTTCTCTCTTCAGTGCTCAAGGCAAGAGGATTTCTTTCTACCTGGGTATAATAGGGCACTTGTTTTTCAATCGGTTACTCCCAGCCACAGTTTCTTTATAAACTGTCTTATTTGTTAGATTTCTAAATATAACCCATTTTTTTGGGAAAGAGCTTGTCTTCCCTATATTTAAATGTTATTTTAATAACCCTTTTGAAAAGACTTAAACATATTTCATATCAGCCTTCTTCTAGAGCCAAGTCATACCAGTTTGTTTGTCTTTCTAATCCCTTAATCATTTTATCCTCAGCATGTTTCCAAATGCTTCATATCTCTCTGAAGATTCCAGAACTGGACTGAGTTCTTTAATAAAGTCTGATCAGGATGGAATGAAATGGAAGATCATTCCTTTGCTGTTTCTTGTGTATTTTTGTTGTTTTGTTTGCAATACTTTGTTGTTTTCTCTCCAGTTAAGCTTAAAAACAGGAACAACAGAAACAAACAAACAAAAAGATTCTACATGGCCTAATATGCTGTACCTCTAGTGAAGTATATGCTCTCACAGTCATTAACACCTTCATGGACATGAGTGGATGTGGATGTACAGGACTCAGTGCCTATAAGGGTTCTGTACTGGCCTGATGCTATTTCTGCTGTCTTGAAATTCTTCTTTTTTTTTTTGAGTTGGTGTCTCACACTGTCACCCAGACTGGAGGGCAGTGGCCGCTCCTGGCCACCGCAGCCTAACCTGCTGGGCTCCGGCGATCCTTCCGCCTCAGCCTTCCAAGTAGCTGGAACTACAGGTGCGCACTACCACGCCCGGCTAATTTTTGATTTATTGTAGAGATGAGGTCTTGCCAAGTTGCCCAGGTGGGTCTCGAACCCGCGGGCTCGGGCAATCCACTCACCTCAGCCTCCCAAAGCATGGGATTACAGGCTGAGTCACGGAGCCCAGTTTGTCTTGAAATTCTTAATATATATATTTTTTTAATTTAGAGACTCCTCATTTCATTTTGTACTGGACCCTACAAATTATGTAGATGGCCCTGCTCATAATTGATGGCTGGAGATCATGAGGGGTAAGTCATCTTCCATGTCTAACCCAGCCTCAGTAATAATTATATTAGCGAGACCCAGGGTGAGGAAATCTGTTGTAAACTTGCACCCCATTCCCTGGTTCACCGCTCTTCCCTCAACATCTCTGAAGATGCACTCACGGCTCAGCTGTTGCCTCCATGTTTCTGTTGGATTTGTCTTTTCCTTATTGGTTTTTTATTTGTCTCAGCTCAGGTGTTGATGTATGTTTTTTCATGGAATCCAAACTTTTGGCATCCAACAGTTGTTCTTTCCAGAGGATTCTTCCTCAGGATACATTCTGTCTTTCAGTTTTTCTTCTTATCTTTTGTCCAAGGTATCACCTCATCTGTAAGTTCTTGTCTTTCTGCCCAATAGTTCATTTCTTATCCAAATTTTAGATTTTCCCTGTCTTTGCAGAAAGACTGGGGTGTTAATTGCAGGAATTCTTCTGGGATGGAAATTTGGATTTCATTTCCATATCAGGATTACAGAGCTTGGGAAAGTGACTTGGAGATATTTAAAAAATCTAGCCATCAGTACAAGTAGAATATTTTATCTTTTCTCTTTACCATAAAGCTAATTCTAGGCATCAGATCCAGCAAATGAAACTTTTTATAATCATTATTTTATGAATTGATTAATTTATCAGCTTATTTCTTCTGTTTCTTGTAGCTTAACAAACAACAATTGCAGTTACTGAAAGAACGGTTCCAGGCCTTCCTCAATGGAGAAACCCAAATTGTAGCAGATGAAGCATTTTGCAATGCTGTTCGGAGTTATTATGAGGTGAGTGTAAAGTGCTTTGTTTTTGGCATCCTAATGCCTTTTTAACGATTTTTTAAAATGACTTTCCCATTTTAAGAAACTCACTAGTATGACAGGAAGACTGAGTTTGCAACCTTCCTTAAAGCATTGTCAATTCAATTTTTCAATTTAAAAGCTCTAATTCCACAGCCTGGTTTTGAGAGATAAACAGAATAGGAAATTAGTCACATCTTTTGAGGAGAAGTAAACTGTTTAGAAAAATCTTCTGGCAGTGATTGATACAGCTGAGTATAGCTATCTTTAGGTCCACATGTCTAAATTATCCTTTTTAATCAGGATTTCAATAGCAAATTGCTATCTTATGCCATTTTGTTCCCTACGCTTTATAATAATTAAAGCTGGTAACTAATTTCAAGAGGATAAATTGAATTCTTTTTTCTTCCTGAAGGTGTAATACTACCAGTAGTATCCTGCTATTTCTTCTGGTTTTAGCTTGTAACTCATTGGGAATTCTCTGTGGATTTCTTATGAACACCAATTTTCACACATGGTCGGTAACTGCTTCAGTGAGTTGCCATTAGATGTTAAGTTTAGAGAGTTCCCTGTTATTCTAAGCATTTCAGAGTCATTTGGGGGAATGAATTCCTTCTATTGTATAGCTACTTAAAAGCTTTCAGCTAAAGACGCACAATGTGCAAATATATACAAAAAATTTAAAAAGGGAAATATGGGGACATAATAGGTTTGAACTTACTTGAGGTAGGGAATATTTTTGTGTAAAAATATTAAGTAACTGGATGTATAGATAATTGATGGGTTTGTAGTTCAATGATGGTATGCATCAGACATTACTTAATAAATGCAACTCTGAGTAAGTTTATACTACCCTAAGCCTCAGTCTGTTGAATCAGATGTAAGTATGAAAGTTTTGCTGACCAAATATAAGTATGACATAAATCTAGTGGCAAGAGTAGATAAGTTGTCAAACTAGACCTTGACTCAGAATTTCTTAACAAGTATAGGACCTCAGCATCTTAACATGTATAGGACCTTACGTTTCATCCTGTGATTCAAAGCCTGAGTCTTGCATTTCGAAATCTTGCCCTGACTCTTAAAAGACACAATGTAAGCCCCTATACTTTTATCATGTACTAAACCAAAAGAAAAGCTACTCATTTTTAGTTCTCACAAATGCATCACTCACTGTAAGACAATGACATTAGGGGAACTGAAATTGGGTGAGAGGAACGAGGAAGTTCTCTGTGCTATCTCTGTAATTTTTGTGTAAACCTAAAAATATTCCAAAATAAGTGTTTTTTTTTTTTTTTTAAGGAAGCATAATGATACAGCCACAATTTAGAAAAGATAAACTTAAGCTATGCTAATAAAATATTCTAATTCAAATGAAGGAAAGGGGTTTCCTCATTGTATTCTTTGTGAGGATGGTGTTCTCTCCTGGGCACCATGTATAAATAAAAAGATGTGGACAAATTTTGCATTATCAAGTTTGAACCATATCTTGTATAGGTTGAAGAACCTGGGATGTTTAGCCCGGAGACAGTTTGGGCTTATTTGGTATGCATTCCCAAAAGTAAAACTACAGCTAAGATGGAAACTGAAGCAGGGAAGCTTTCAATGAAATATAACTGGAGTGCAGTCGCACTGCCCCCAAACAGAGTGGATTGTGACTGCAGCATCACTAGAGGCTACATTTTGGTGGGTACTTCATGGTCGTTTGGGAAACATCTTGCACAAACTGGTCCCAAAGCTCTGCCCGGACTTACTGAATCAGACTTTCAGAATCTTTGCTTTGGAAAGCTCCCAAAGTGATTCTCTTACAATTGGTGGATTGCTAACCAGTGGAATTAGATGATTAATTGCTAGGATTGAATAAGTTATCATCTAATTACAGAAAGAGCTGTAAACATTGAGGAGGTGGTATGACTTGGTGACCAACGGTTTTCTGTTCTTTTGGTAGTATTTCCAGCTAGTATTTGGTTGTGAGACTATATCTAACTTGTGTTTGTGCAGCTCTCAAAGTGCTGTTAAGATTTGTGATATTGATAATGTCTTCATAGAGCCATATTTCTGGTTTGTATTTATGAAGTTATTTTCCTGGTAGTACATGTTTGGTACTCAACAAACTCCTGAATAAGTAAGTACATTTTGTTTGAAAAACATGACAAAAAATTGCTTCCCCATTTTTGTCCCCTAAAGTCTTTTTCATTTTTTTAGGAATATATTTTACATATTTTTATGACTCACAATGCTGGTAGTCTCTGCTATTGTTACTTTTATGTAGTATTCTTTATAGCTTGCCAAAGCCATCTATTTCTCCCCCTAATATTTCTTCACAGTAAAAAGTGCGAGTATTATTACCCATACTTTTCATAAATAAAAATTGAAGCTCATGAAGTTAGATGACTGACTTGTCCAGTGTTATGTATTTGGCAAGCATCTAAGTTAAATGCAAATCCAGCTTTTCTGACTCTTTCTGGTATGTCACAGTTGTTTCACAGTTGATATTTATAATATACCTATGTCAGGTACTTTGTAAAGCACTTCAAAAAATATTTACAGTCTCAGATACTTTACAGATTAAAATATTTTTAAAAATATTTTTATTCTTTAGAACAAATCTTATGAACAGGTAGAATTATTCCTATCCTCTAGATGAAGTTAAGTGGCTTTTGTTCAAAACTGCAAAGCTAATTAGTAGCATAACTAAAAACATTATTCCACCAAACCTTATTAAAAACATATTTTTGGGTTCCACACAAAACCCTATTGAGAGAGAATTCAACAAATACTTACTGAGTTAGTGAGAGTATTGGAGCACTTACTGCTTGAACTAGAAATTGTATATTTTGTTCCTGTCTTTATTCTTTTCTCCATAGTTGTCTCTTTCTAAATGTATCTATCACTTCATGATTGCAATGGAGTTTCTTTTGGATATATTTGTTCTGGATTTCATATTGTATGTTTTCTTGAAGATACGAGAAGCATGGTTGGGATTTCAGCCTGCACTTTGTAACCTAATGATTCAGTGAGGTTTTTTTTTTTTAATAATTTTTTTTGGCTTCTTACATAATTTGAGGTCTGTGTTTTCAGGGATATTATATATAGTTTGCTAAATGCAGCTGTTTTCACTTATTAATAATCTTTTAGTAGTAATTTTTATTTATTAGATTTGCTAGCCCTTTAGCTGTGATAATAATTTTCAACCATATATGTTTATATAAGCAATTCTAATGCATATTATTAACTAAATTGAAAATATGCCTTCATACTATTAGGATGTAAATTCTTCCAAAATTGTTTGTTATTGTTATCTTTCCATCTCAGCTTTATGAATGCTATTTTTTGAATGATTTTATAAATAGCCTTTTTCATCTTGATTGTAGGTATATATTTTCTATAGATAATTAAGAGTTATCTATCAATTCTTATGGTGTTTGTACCTTCAGATATTTGATTTACTTTACTCCTCTGTGATACCTGGTATCTTAGAATGAAACCCAAGATATATTTCTTTTTCTCCACATTATTTGACCAAAAAACATTTGTTCATGGTACATTCTTACATTTTTTTTTCCCAAAAAGGTAAATTCTGAAAATTAGATCATGGCAGGATTGGATCCTTCTGGGTGTTTCTGTGTGGTACATGTGTGTGTGTGTGTGTGTGTGTGTGTGTGTGTGTGTGTGTGTGTGTGTCTGATTACATCTATGTTACTTTTAAGTAGCATTTGCTTTGAATATTCTTCGATATGTTACATAAACACATATACTGAGGCGGTGATGATTTTTATATGACAATATAATGTCTATCATATCTTTTTAATAAAGGTCTTAAGTACTATAAAGTAACAAGAATAATAAAGAAGAAATCTGTTTTTGAGATTTCATCAATACTTTTTCTCATAAAGTTAGCATTAAGAAAAATAGACCTGCACATCTAAACCACCTACTTGGCAGACACAATGTTAGAGGAGAATCAGAACAGAAGAAAGAAATGGCAGGTGGCATGCATAACTACTGCATAAAAGTTTGCAGTAATGTTAATGATTTTGTGGTTGATAATTGTTAGATTCTGCTGTACTTTCATCCTTTTCGTCAATTGAAGTTTTTCCCCCCCATTCATTTTTTTTTTTTTTTACTTCAAGCATCTCACTGTCTAAAAGAAGGCATAAAATGGACCAAGTCTATAAATATGTGCTTTTTGTTTGGGGCCATTTTTGTTTGTTTGTTTGTCTTCAATTTAGGAAACTTCAGCTGACTCTGCAAATGAGTAAACACGGGTTTATTGCAATTTGTTACTTTCCAAGCTGTTCTTCCCATGAGATATCTGCTTCTGTTTCACAGATTCAGGTGGATTTCATACAAATACATCAAATGACAGGGTGATTTATAACGGACATGTGGAAAAGTAAATGTCCTTTTTCTTGAAGATGTCCAAAAGACACTGTACAATTGCTCACCAGCTACTTTCAGCATAATACTAACTTTCATGTTCTATTATTGTACAAAATATAGATGTTAAAGCTTTTGTGTGTGCATTTATGACTTGGCTTTGTTCACAACTTTTCAGAAAGAATGTGTAGTTTTCTTATTGTTGTCATATGTTTATGTTCTATTTTGGTTCCAAAGAACAAATGAGAGTTAGAGAGATATTTAGTTTTTTAAAAGTTACCAAAGTAATATTAAAATAATTCTTGCCACCTCTATCATTATTGCCACTACCGTTTGCTGTTTAGGTTTCTTGTTTGTATAATAACACAAATGAGAATTCCTTCAACACATTTTTTTGTGGGGTATAATTCAGGGTTAGGTATACAAATGTTCATTATGCAAATACCCTTGTTTATGAGGTGTGCCCCGCCTCACCTGGCAGTTTTCTACTACTGCCAATCCCTTTTTTATAGTATTACCTTCAACACGTTTTTAAAAATTGTTTTCAGTATTTTTTCTCTTTGTAAAATAAGTAATATCAGAAAGTATTTTTTCTTTTAATATTGAAATTT